GCATCCACCACGTCAATGCGATCAACCTTATACACACAGCGCAGTCACGGAGACATGGCCGTGGTGGTTCGTGTCATGTGTGTGTGAGGTAACAGCTGGTTGCCTCACCCCTGTGGTCATTCGGATGTTTTTGATGGTTGCACCCGCCTTGCCGATGATGAGACCGATGTTGTCCTTGTCGATGGGGACATCGCGGCTCGTCTGAAGCGCTATGTCGTCCTCCAACTCATCCTGCATAAACACACCAAACAGGCAAACAGGCAAACAGACAGACAGGGACACAGCAGCAAGGAACTCCAGCCCCCACTCGTCATGTCCATCCCACGACAGACGGCTGGTCAACGGACCTGGAATTTCTGTAGTGTCTCTTTGACTTGTGCGACGGCGTCCTTGGCGCCCATGATTTTGGCCGTCTTGGTCTTCTTGTCCAGTGAGACGCTCACGGGCGGCGACACACTCGTCTCGATTTCCTGGATCCTGGTGCCGCGGTTGCGGATCAACGCATTGATCTGCAATGCAGCCAGTGCAGCCATATGTATATGCCATCCCATGGGACCGACAGACGCACAGGCCGACCGACAGGGATCCATCCATAGGTGGATGGGATGCATGTCATGTGCATGCGTGTGTCTATTGGGCCGTACGGCGTTTTCGGCGAGTTCCATGGACTCCACGTGTCCCTCGCGGTCGAGTATCTCGTTGATCAGACTCTGCGCTGCCGCCTTCTGCTCGTTGTCTGGTACGGTACCAGCCAGGGGTGGATGGGACAGGCGGTGGACACACACAATGACTGACGTGGAGAGCTTTCGGTCATGTGTGTGTGGTTGTGTGTGTATGTACCTCCAGTGACAGTGATGAATGATGATCCGTCGGGTCGTGGGCGTGCGATGGTGAGGATGGCGCCGCTCTCCTGCTCTACCGCCTGCTTGTGCTTGCTCTCAGCACTCTGGACACACATACACACATACACAAAGGACGAGTGAGGCACGCCAGTGGGCTGGTGGGGTGGGGTGTGTGGATGGGTGCAGTGCAGTCGAATGTGTGTGGCTACGTTACGGTAGCTACCCACCCAGATTTTCATTTGCTCGCGTTGGATGGACACTCGGGTGGACGTGTACATGGCCTGAACAGCTCACACACATGGGAGGGGAGGTGTCCAGTCCAGCCGCCCCGCCAACCCCGTAAGTAACACCACACCCTGTATGTGTGCAGTAAGTAAGTCACCTTCTTGATGAGCTCGGTGATCTGAGCCTTCACCTTGTCCACCAACTCCTTGGCACCTGCACACGATGCAAACAGACAGACAGACAGACAGACAGACAGACAAGGGTGAGGTCTGTGGTAAAGTATCGGGGTGTGTGTGTGTGTGTGTACCGATGAGTTGAATGGTGTTGTCCTTCCTGAGTATGGTCAGCCCCGAGCTTTCCCGCAGCTGCGCAAACTGCTCCGCCACACCCGCCACGAAGTTGCTGCCCTCATCGTTGTCCACACTAATATCAGTCAGACACACAACACAACACAAGACAACGCAAAGAAAAGATCCACACCCACAGTACAGTGCAGAGGTGGTCCATAGCTAATTGATTCATCTCATTTATGAGTTGGGTTCCTCACTCGAATCCCCTGGGTCCGCCGGGCTGTCTCCTCTGGCCGCCCTGGGTGCCGCCGCCCACGCCCGAGTAGAGTTTGTTGAGGACCTGACGCTCCGAGGGGATCTCCACCGTGACGACCCCCTTGATGAACTCGCTGATCTTCTTCTTGGCGGCGCTGATCTGGTCGGCCTTGCCGCGGATCGTCACACGGCACTTCTCCACTCCAGTCGCTGGGAGCATCCCGTGACCCTCGCCCTCGTTGTCGTGGTCCTGCTGTGGTCCGCGGGCCCCGCCCCGGCCGCCCCCAGTCGGGGGGCCGCCGCCCTCACGGGGCTGGATGACCTTGATCTGGCTGCCCGTGGCCTGCTCGATCGACCGCACCACTGACCCGTTGAGACCCACCAGGGCCTTGCCCATGCCCACTGACACACTGATCTCATCAAACGACTGAGCCTGAACATCAGTCATAGAGGAAGGTGGACACACACCACACCAACACCAACACACACCCACACCAAGACACGAATCCGTTCAATCCGTGGGTGTCTGTCTGTCTGTCTGTCTGTGTAGGTGCTCTGTCTGCTCTTAATTAATGTGAGTGTGCCAGACTGCCGTACGTCTGCGAGGAGCTCTTGGATGTATTTGCATGCCTTCTGGACGTTGTCCTTGGCGCCGTAGAACCCCACCTCACTCCTGGGAAGAACAGACCACACACACACCCCACCCAGTGGATAGAGTGGCATCCCATCCGACCGATGTGTGCAGGGCAGGTCAGGTGGGTGAGTGTATGGCGGTAGGTATGTCTGTCATGTCGTGGGGTTTGTGTGGGTGGGTACATACATACATTCCATACACACACATACATACTTTTCTGCGTGGACAAAGACGCCGTATTCCTCCTCGAGTTTCCTGGCGTTGGCCCCCTGGCGGCCGATGATGGCAGCCGCACCCTTGGCGTCCACAGTCAGCGACTGCTTGCCAGAAAAGTCCAGCGACTGGCGGTGTCAGGCAGGCAGCCCACACACAGCACAGGCACACACAGCAAGTAAGCAGATAGATGGGATGGGTGGGTCTCTTCTGCTGAGTCAGTCAGTCCAGTGGGCACTTTCCTTCCTTGATACTTATATGTGTCCTTATATGACTTACTTTGAGGTATGCGGTGCACTTGGTGACGTCTTCCTCAAAGCCAGAGATCTGCACAGCCTGCACAGCACACACACACACAGGTAAGGTAGGGAAGGTACGTGTAAATGTCTGTCTTGCGCCCTTTGTCTGCCCATCGACCTAGGTACCCTGGGTTTGTTTCTGTCTAGTGGTTTGAGTATCTCGACATTGTAGGTATTGCCGATCTTGCGGGCGACGGTGGCGGCGTTGCCCAGTGCGTTGGCGACCTCGGCCGACAGGTCCACCATAACCTGCTTGGCCACCACTCCCGCAGGCAGATCCTCGTAAGCAACACCCTTCAACGCTGCACACACACACACACATGTGCATGGCCTCGATGTGGTCAGTGTGCGTATGTAGTGAGTGACCCAGGTGCAGTGCAGCGCACACCTACCGGCAAATTTCTTGACGAGTCTGTGGTTCTTCTCCCACTCCTTGGCACGCTCAAACGCACCCGCATTCTGACACACACACGAGACACGCACGAGACACGAGCAGACAGACAGACAAGTAAGTGACATGACTGACGTGACGTCCCTGATCAATGAGCCTATACTGTATATATTATCGGTGTGTGCGGCCAGCGTACCGCCTTGAGCCGGTCCTCCACCTTGTCCTTCAACTCGCGCAGCAACGTCTGGAACTGCACACACAACACACAAGACACATCCCGGACACCATCGAGTCAGAACAGCAAGATAGGGACATGATGCCTGTCTGTCTGTCTGTCGCAAGACACTATTATCTTCAAGCATCTGATCTGATCTGATCCGTACCTACCTTCTTGGTGCCCTCGAACTCCTTGGCGATCTCCAACTCACTCTGCACACACACACACACAGGACCAGCGCCATACCGACCAATCATACTCACCCGCACACCACCTCTCTCTCTCTCTCTGTGTGTGTGTGTGTGTGTGTGTCAATATGTACATGCAGCCACTCGAGGTGGGTCTTTTTGTCCTCTGGGGTCATTTCTCTGACGGACTGGCTGCCTTTGCGTATGTTGTCGATTTGTGCCATGAGGTCCTCAGCGGACGACTTGCTGGACGGCCGGCGGGCCTTGACGCCGGTGTTCATGCGATCGCTGATCTCACACACCAACTCCTCCTGAAGCGAAGCGGGAGGGAGGGAGGGGACAGAGAGACAGACAGACAGGGGGAGGGAGACATACAGACACGTGTGTGGCTGGGTGGCTGTGTGTGAGAGGCAGGTCAGGTGAGGTCAGGTGAGGTACCAACCAGGAGTATGCGTTGGCGTGGGGCGATCTGTAGGATGTGTTCGTTGGTCGCCTTGGTGGCCGTCAAGTCCACCGACTCGTCCAACTTGGACGTCAGGGCAGACAGGATGTCCTTCTTCTCATCGTCCAAAGGGTCGTACGCCGCCATGCCAGACACCACGCCATTCTGATCAGACAGACAGACCAACCACATGAACGACACAAGACGACACGACAGACAGGTGTCAGTTAGTCGATCGATCAACAGGCAGGCTCTCGCGGGGAGGGGTGGTGGACGTGTGTTGTGTGGCCTGCCTGGTTCCCTGCCTACCGCTTTGGTCTTGTTGGGACCATCGGCGGGCGAGGAGGCCGCTGCAGCACCGCCGTCTGGCTGTTCGCTGCCACCGGTGGCGGCGTCCTGCTCCTGCTGTGCCTTGCGCTGTGCCTTGGCGCGGCGTTTTTTGATGTTCTTCTTCTGTGTGGCCGAGAGCTCCGAGTAGGGCCTGGCGTGCCCGTTGGCCTCGTCCTCATCCACGCCATCATCCTCCGCCTCATCGTCAGCCTCCTCTGCCGCAGCGGGGGGGTGGTCTGGAGGGGGGGGCTGCTTCTTGCCCCCCCCAGCTCCGTCGGCAGCAGCAGCCGGGGTGCTGGTGGGGCCAGCGGCACCGTGGCCGCTCTTCTTGCCGTTGGACAAGACGGCGGGCGAAGCTGACGACGCAGAGGCCGCCTGCTGGTCTGGTTGCTGAGCGGGCGGTGATCCCGACGCAGCAGTGTCGGCACCCCCTGCGGCCTGATCTCCCCTCTGGCCGCCACCCGCATCAGCCGATGACGACGACGCCACGTTCTTCTTCTTCCGAGCCATATGTCTACACAGACCAGATCCACCAGGTCACCAACAGACACACACCGACCACCACAGATCAGCTGTGTCAGTCAGAAGTGCTGAGCAGTGCTGGCAGCCCTCTCCTCAGGGCTGCTGCTTCTCTTTCCTCCTTCCCCTCTCGATCAAAGCTCGCAAGGAAAACCTCCTGCCTGGGCCTAGCCCCTCTTCTCCTCCTTGGCCAGATCCATCCACTGGTAGGTAGGGATGCGGTCGTCGCCAGCGTCCTGCACGTCTGAGCTCACGAAGCTGCTGGAAGCCAACAAGGCCGACGGCCAACAGGTAGGTTTAGGGGAGGGGATGCTTACTGGTCTGCATGGGCGTGATCTGCATCCGGTTTGGTTTGGTTTGCCCGCCCCGTGGTCCCACTGCATGCCATGCCATGCAGTCCCTCTATCTACCTGTCTGTCTGCTTGCGCTGCGATGGCTGCAGGCAGCTGATCTGGAGGCCGTGATGGAGTCCATCTTGACAGATGATGCCGCATTCTCAAGCTTCGCATGGGAAACATCCATCGGACAACAGGTCAGTCAGTCACACACATGGACTGCATTGACTCATTCATGGCCATGAGTCTTGGTGGTGCCGTCATGTCCGTCCGTCAGGGGCCAGCCGTGTGTGATTTGCTGGCATACTGGCTCGAGGGCACCGTGGCTAGATCACATTATCCACCAGCGGACACCGACACACCAGCCGAGGCTGAGACCACCTCACAAGGAAAGGCGGCCTCTTCTGTGTTGACGTCGATGGTAGAGCTGATGGCCATCGGTGCGTTCCCCTTGGCGCTGTGGGCGTACCTCAGCCACACCATCGCACAGCGGGTGCGGCATGGGTGGACCACCCGGGCCGCCCACCAAGACGCAGCCGCACAGGGGCTGGAAAGGCTCCTACTCGCACTGGCCAACCATCCACAGGTAGGGAGGCGTTCGAAACAATCAATGCTTGTTTGTCGGCTGATTGATTGGATGCCTGCCTTCCTTGTTTGTTTGCTTGCTTGTGTCTGTCGTGCCCTATCAGGCGGCCTGTGACCACCACCACCCCCCTGTGTGTCGTGGGTTGAGTGTGTACCCCTCCCCCGAGACGATGGCGTCACCCTACCACCACCCCACCACTGGCGGCCCCCACCCACACAAACACACACACACCATAAAAACCATCCCCTTCAACGCACCCACAAACCACACACCGACTCCCACGACCGCCCACGGGATCCAAATACTCAGACTCACCTGCCGTATGCAGGCACACTTGGTAAGGCAACGCAGGCCACTCCCGCCCGTAAATGAGTGCCCTCTCTCTCACTCGACAAGACACACTCAATGGTGTCCCTGTTTGGCTGGGTGTCTGTCTGTCTGTCTGTCTGTGTGCAGGTGGGTCGTTGTGCGCGGCTTGTGCATGCGCGGTGCAGTTTGCTGCCCACCAGTGCCCTCATCCACTTCTGCGACTTCTGCACCGGGTCGGGCTGACATACATAAAGGCATCAGACAGACAGACAGACAGACTGGTGGTATGTTTTGGATTGCTGTTGTCTGTGTATGTGTGTGTGTCCGTGTGTGCGTGTGTGTGCAGTATGTTGGGTATGGACTGTGTGGGTGTGAGTGAGTACCGTTTGGACGGCCGGCGGGGCCGCTCGCCGGATGCATCCTCGAGACATAGACACGCTGCCGACTCAGCCAGGGGCGGATGGACCGGCGCACGACTCCCTGTCGATGAACACACCCTCATGGTATGCATGTATCGTGAGACAGACAGATATCTATGCTGTTAGCTAAATGCCTACATGCATAGATCCACGTCTGCCGTGGTGGCTGCGCTGCGCTGCAGGTCTGCTGTGAGTGTTTGTCTGCATGCCTTCCGATAAGCGATAAGGTCCGCAGGAATGCCGTGAATGCCATCAAGGTGCGGTGCGGTGCCATCATTTTAAATCTCTCCTGGGCGTGGCGTTATGATGGTCGGGTCGCTTGCTTTGTTTGGTGGGTTGATTGCCCCCATTCTGGTTGTCAGACGCTTCAGCGGCGAGCTCAGCTGGAAATGATGCCCACGGTATTCAATGGAGGTGGTGACGTCATACATACAGCACCCACCGGTCGGGCAATGTGTGTGTGTGTGATGCAGACGGTCTTCTATGCGACGGCGCTGCTGAATGAAGCATAGCATGCTGACGGACACGGCGGCCCGAATGGTTGGATCCTCTGAGTTAGTTTGGAATGCACACATCCCAGGGTGTACCCTCTCATCAGTCAGTCAATGCTCACGTTGTGCAACTTAACTGTACAAATAAATCCCTCTATGCATGGCATGGCAGGCAGACATGTATGTATGATGGGACGGGACGGGACACAATTCATACAATACATACATACAGGCACACGCCAGCCAGCCAACCGACCAGCATGGATGTCCCCCTTCAAGGCGTACGTACAGCCTAGCCTAGCCTGCCTGCCTGCCCGTGAGACACGTGTACGTACCGTCTGTCGTACCTGTCAAGCACGTACGTACGTGCATATGTGCGTACTGAATCTGTCAATTTCTGCTGCAGGCAGATACATACGTCCGTCCGTCCATACCCTACGCCGCCGCATCCTCAGTCAGCTTCCCCACATGCATTGCACTGCAATCATTGCATGCCCATTCACTATACATATGTCCCTCGTGGGTGAGTAAGAGAGTCAGTGAGTCTGTCTGTCTGTCTATCCTCGTTTGCGCCACTGCCTCTGTTTCCTGGCAGCTCTCCTGCCGGGCATCTTGGGCCACTTCTGGCGTGTGTCGTCATACAGCACCAGATCCTCCTGCATGTCACCCGCACACGACCCACAGGCACTCACCAGCGCACGACCCACCGCCAAACGAGCCGCACACGCCTGACCTGAATGAACACAACACACAGCATAGATAGGGAGGGACAGGCGAGTGCAGTAGTGGTGGCTGACTGATATTTAGATACATAGCCTCCCCTCCCTCCGTTGCTGTCTGTGTGGCTGGCTGACCGACCTGAGGGCCCTCCGCCCCTGACATTGACGAACAGGTCATAAACCCCCGCAGTGCCCGTCAATAGAAACGGCTGCAGCACGTCCATCCTGCAGCCAGCCAGTTAACACAACACAGACAGAACACTCGTGGATTTGGACGAATGCCCGCGTGACGTAACATGACGTGACAGGGCCGCAACGCCCCCCCAGCCAGCGACTGACGGAGGGGTGGACGGGACGGGACGGACCTGTTGTAGAAGTAGTTCCACCATGTATACACATCGGCGCCGCCATTGACCAGCACCTGAAAGTATGTGATATCTACACAACACACCGCACACACGACCGCCCCCTCGTCCCCGGCTGCCTGTCTGTCTGTCTGTCTGTTTACCTGTCCCGTCCCGCGTTTGATGACGGCATGTGCGACGGCTCGCGCACGCGTGCCTCGGCCCTCCGCCTCCAAACGCCACTCACGACCCTTGTGCTCAAACGTCTGGACGGGGGCAACCACACAGACACACACAGACACACAGACACGCAGACACAGACAGACAGACAGACAGACAGACACATTGGACACAGACAGAGGGAAGGGAAGGAACATCGACCATGGTGCCTGCTCTCTCCCCCTGGCTGCCTGGCTGGGTGTGTGGGTACGTACGTACATACCTACCTACCTTGTGGGCCTGTTGGTCAGGGCCGCCGTGGAAGGCTTTGAGGATCATCTGGTTGACGACGTGTGCCGTGACGGTGTCGCCCTTGCCCTGTGGTGTGTGTGGTGGGTGGACCACCGCACCCACACGCTCCCCCTCCAACTCACCCAGGCTGCCCTTGGGCAGCTCACCACTACCATCATCAAAATCATCCTCCTCACCAGCCGTATGCACGGGCGATGACGGCCCTCCCCCGCCCCGGCCGCTCTCGTGTGGCTCGAGGTCTGCGGACACTTGGTGCGAGAGGGCATCATGTTTGTCAAGGCAGAGGTCCAACCCATCCGCCACATCCCGGGGGAGCCCAAACTCCGCATCTGCCTCCGTCACGAGGCTGCCAGCGCCGCCGCCATCCGACGACTCAAAGAAATTCTCCAACAGAAACGGACTCCTGTCCTGAAAGACATGGACGGGACGGGACGGCCGGACAAACATTAATTCCTTGACCAGCCCCTCTGGCCCCGTACCGTGGTTGGCTCATGTGTGTACCGGTGAGAAAGGCGGCGATTTCATGATGATGGCCTGAACTTCTTTGGTCGTCTCGACGCCGGCCTCCTTGGACAGATACAACACCTGCTCACACATGCACAGACAGACAGACAGACATGTTGGCAGGCAGGCACTTCATCACAGTCTCTCTCCCTGTCTGTCTGTCTGTCTGTCTGTCTGTCTGTCGCTGCATTTGTCTCTCCACGTGGCATTTGTCTCTCCACGTGGGCAAACCTAACCTCGTCAATGCTGAGTTGTCCCAATCGAGATGAGGAGGGCTTCTTGGCATCCGTGGCCTTGGTGCCTGTGCCATCGCTGCCATCGTCGAGCTGAATCTCAACCTTGGCGCCTCGGCGGTCCTCAGAGGTGAAACTCCTCTGCTGCCGCGCACAAGCCCAGCGGATCTCTGCCCAGGGCCGCCTCAAGTGAGCCGTTTTTGGCAGATCTCTCATCAAAATGGGGTACCGGGAGGCACCCACACCCCTGATACACTGCATGTCCTTAACTTCCCTGCAGATCTCAACCTTCTTTCCCGATCGACCTACGATCGACCCTGAGGCGAGCACCAGAGAGAGAGAGCCAGGGAGGCAGGCGGACGAGACCCCTTGTTTCCCAGATCTGCCGCCCGAAAGAAGTCTGTTGATGTGTCGATGTGGCATTTGGCCTGTTGACTGACTCATGGGGAGGACGTGGCTGTTGATGGTGCGACTGCAGATGCACGAGTCATTGCACGCCCACGTCTGTCCATCCACCATGGGGTGTCTGCTGTCCCTTGTCTGCTTCATCGATGCCTCACTGGCCAACCTCTTCCCACTGCATCACGACACATCAGCCGCAGCCTTCATCTCTCCACCTCTGAGGCAGCCAGTGCGTCACGCCCGCCACCACTTGAAGCGGCGGCGGCTCGCGCCACCCCAGCTTGTCGTTGACGGACCCGCTATGGTATCGGCATCCACACCGACAGCTGAGATGGAGCCGGCGGACGCCACGGGCCGTGAACCACCATCATCACAGACATCATTGCAGCGGTCAGCCGATGAATCTGATGAGTCTAGAGGTGCCACTGCCCTCCTGGCTGGCGGCGCTGGCGGGCTTCCACGAGAGTCGGGTAGTGACGGCGAGTATTCTCTGGTGGTTCCCGCGGACCTATCGCTTCGGTTTAGGGACTCTGGTGGTGATGTGAGTTTGTGGGAGACCCTGAGGCTGGAGCACTACAAGAACATCCTCCAGACCCTCCTGTACAACTACCCCCACTACAGAATACACATCGCCGACCCCCTATGGGCCAACACACCACCGCTGCACTCACACTCTACAGCCACACCCACCACCAGCAGCAGCAGCAGTAGCAGGATGAGAGAGGTGGGAGGCAACGACTCGTCAGCGGCCACGGCCACGGCCATGGTAGCGCCCTCGTCCTTTGCATCTTGGTGTTACCCGCCCAGCATGTTGGAACCAGGCCCCCTGCCGCCTCTCGTCAACATCTCGTCTGCCTTGCTGAGTCCCGACAGTGTGGTGTACGATGCCGTGTACGACAGCAGGGAGCACCCCAGCCCCAGGGTGGTCAAGGCGCGCAAGGCCAAGGGCCAGGAGCGCTTCTACATCTGGACAAAGGGCATGTCCAAGACACAGGCACAGCAGCTCGAAGTGGAAGCCTTGCAGCGCCAGGATGTCTTGGACACCCACATACTGGCCGCCTACAGTGACCCGTACGACAAGGCATACGCATACGAGTATGGCGGCCACCCCAGGGCCGCCAGCCCGTCGACAGGGGGTGGCCATGGGGATGATGGCTCTGTGAGGCTCTCAAATCAGCCCTCCGTCATGGTCCGCCGACGGGCCACCTCAGCAGCCACAGGCGACAGGCATGCAGGTAGCAGCGCCAGCCCAGTGAGTAGTGAGAGTAGGGGAGGCAGGCCGAGTGTGGGTGTGGGTGTGGATGAGCGGGTGCCTGGGGAGAAGAGGGGTCTGATGGGTGAGGGCCACGGGCTCGGCAAGCGGGGGCTGGAGGTGGAGGCCACTCTCAGGTTCGCCAACGGCACTCTGGTCCACTACACACACATATTCACTGTCAACGACGTCCTTAGCCTCGCCAGTGACATCAACCACAAGTGGGTTGAGGGGGGAGGGACATGGGAGGGCGGGGGGATATCTATACATATCGACACAAACAGCACAGCACAGCACACAGATATAGACTAAGTGACTGACCGCCTGCCTGTGTGTGTGTCTGTCTGTCTGTCTGTCTTTGTCGTGGATGCATGGCATGCAGGAGGTACAGCATGTCGTTCGCCACAGCATTTGACTCGACAGAGAGAGGTAGGAAACCAAGGCAGGCCAGGACATGCGCGAATGTCCATCCATCCATCTCTATCTGTGTGTGTGCCGCACACAACCGTTGCTTGTCGTGTTTAGCGATAGAGAAGATCTTTGTGGGGGAGAAGACCAACACTGGGGGCGTTAGTGAGCTGCTCAAGTTCCTGCCCGCCATCTGCCCACTGAGGGCAGAACTCATTGCCTACCAATGCCTGGTCCCACCCACACCAACACCCACACTCACACCCACACCCACCCACACTGACTGCATCCCCCCCTCCATGAACATGCATACATGTATTGTTTGTATGCATGAGTGTATCTATGTGTGCAGGCCATGTTGACGGGTGTGGGCACTGAGAGCAATTTGGCAGAGTCGTGCGCCCTCGATGCCGTCCGTGCGGCACCTAACATGCCCCTCGCATGGCAAAGGTCAGTCGGGGATGTGACGATGGATGGATGGACGGATGCATGGATGGGATGGATGCACTTGGTGTGTGGTCGATGGATGTGTAGGTTGGGCGATGCGTATCGGTGTAGCAGAGACTTCTGGAAGGTGAGTGCCATCCATCGAAAGGGAGAGGCAGGCAGGACCGACTGCACTGCCTGTCAGTGACCTGCCTGCCTGCCTGCCTGCCTATGTGTGTGTGTGTGTGTGTGTGAGAGCGGATTCACTTGGTTGCTTGCTTGCTCACTGTGTGTGTGCGTGGGATGCAGGCCAAGAATGCGTATGCGATAGCCCTGTCCCTGATGCCCCCACCAGCCCTCCTGGAGGACATTAGGGTACCCTACGAGGTAAGTGGGGTGGATGGATATTCATACGGAGGGGGCTGTTGGCTGTTGCAACATACATACACACATACGTCCATCCAGACCAGACGCACCTGTCTGTCTGTCTGTCTGTATCGAATCACGTGTGTGTGCGTCCACTCCACCCACCAGGCGCTTGCCCAGGCCATCGCTGCCAAGAACACTGACCACAACGTGCCGGTGCGCGATGCGATGCGATGCGATCCACAGATACATACATACACCCAGGCACAATGGGCAGGGCGAGGAGGGTATTGTCCCATTTTGGGTGGGTTGGTCAGGCTTTGTTGAAGTTCTTGCCTGGTGCTGTGACCAACACAATTGACAAGCCAAGCGGCTTTGCCATCGATCCAAACCCACAACATCTCGGTCAGCCAGAGGAGACAAGCAGTCAGGCAGGCAGGCAGACAGACAGGCCAAGCGGACAGATAGATGGTCACACAATCACAAATACATACAAATACGTCTCCTTGCGTCAAGAGCCTGTTGGTGTGCTGTGCTGTGGTGTGCTGTGGTGTGGTGCGGTGTGGTGTGGTGGGTGTGTACTAATAGGCGGGTGTCGTGTTGCCTACGTTGTTCCTGACTCGCCAGCCGCCAAGGCAGGCATTCAGGCAGGTATGTATGTATGTAAGTGGGAACGTGGCAGACAGCCACCCAACCCACCTACCCACCTACCTACCTAGAGTCAGTCAGTCAACACATACATAGATACACAGATGGATAGATGGAGGCAGAAAAGAGTGAGGGGCCGAGTGGGTGTAGTGTAGTGTCGGTGTGATGGTTGGCTTGTCTGTTTGTGTGGACAGGGAGTCACCTGATAGCTGTTGGCAACAACGGGATGCTCATGGGCAAGCCGATGGAGCACTGCATGAAGCAGCTGCAGCAGGTACGTACGTACAAACGTTTGGACACGCGGTCACACATACTACTGCATGTATGGGCTGAGTCTCCTTGACTGACTGACTGCCTGACTGACTGACCACCTTTTACCTACCTACTTGCTTGCCTCCCTCCCTCCCTGCACGGCCCTGCCTGTCGGATGACATATGTGCATACATACGCGTGCATGCAGAGTGGTGGGCGAGGTGAGTCGCGGACCAAGCTGACGACGTTTGCAGGGAGCTACGTCGACCTCTACGGCCCCGCAGCCTTCGAGTACCTCAACACCATCCTCATGACCTACCCAGTCGATACACTTGCCGCACTTTGCTGTGACGCGCACCAACAAGCAAAGATACTCGGCAGGCCGCACACCGAGGCAGATCTGGGCGGCATAGACCAGGACCCCCTCCACGGCCCGTGCGAGCCGCTCCGTGAGGACGTGTGTCAGTGTGTGCCTCACGAGCCACGCCTGAGATTGCTGAGGAGGATCAGTATGTTCGACTTGCCAAACGCTCTCCTGCAGTGATGGACACACAGATGTTACATGCTAACGCGTTCTTTGCATGCTCCCCCGGATGTGAGAAATCCTCGCGCGCGACCGCCCCCGTTCGTCGCGTCTTCAGGCCCCCAGGGGGGAGCTCGCGTCCTTCCTTTCCCGAGCTCCGAGTCGTTTTCCCGCTCCCCTCCCTCCCCCGTCTCTCCTTTGCCGCCTTGCCGACGATGATGCCCACAGGACCTCAGGGGCCTGACGGCCCGGCACCCCCGAGGTACGCCTTACCACCACTCCCCACCGCAGTAGACAGAACCGACTGAGAGCATGCTGGCTGCATTGCATGGGGTTCGTTGCTGCTGCAGGTATACCATTCCTGAGAAATTCACCGCCGAGCCCATTCTGCAGGTAGGTACCTTATAAGCGCAGGGAGGCCCTCTGGGCCTTCGTTCGTTTGCACCATGCATCCGTGCGGGTCGGGTCGTCTGTCTGTGGCTGGTGAATGCACATGCCATGCCGGTCTGTCTGTCTCCCTGCTTGCCCATGCATATATCTATCTGGTGTGGTTTGCTTTGTGCTCGTGTGGATGCGTGTGTGTGGTTTATGTATGCTGCCTGCCCGCAGGAGCGTGTGATAGAGGTTGTCAAGCCCATAGTAGAGGAGAAGATAGTGGAGGTGCCGCAGGTGCATTATGTCGAGAAGATTGTCGAGGTGACCCAGCAGGTCGTGCAGGAGAAAATCGTACATGTCCCCAAAGTGGAGGTCCAGGAACGCATCATCGAAATACCCAAGATACAAATACAGGTATCAGAGGACGGACGGAGGGAGGGAGGGATGCATGCGTACGTAGGCAGGTACGTACGCACATGTGTGTGTGGCACATGGACGGACATGGACGTGTCGGGCGTCCCGTCCTGTGTGCGCCCACTGCCTTGCATGCCTTCCTCCCCTGTCTGCTTCCTCTCGCCCTGTCTGCCTTGCAATGCATGCACACGCATGTCTCTGCGTGTGTGTGTGTGTTTGTATGATCCATGCGTCCGTCCCTGCAGGAGAAGATAGTGGAGGTTCCTCAGATTCAGTACATCGAGAAGTTCCAGGAGGTGCCTCAGACGATCGTGCAGGAGAAGATCATCCATGTGCCCAAGATCGAGGTCCAGGAGAGGATCGTCGAGGTCCCCAAGATCATCACACAGGAGAAAATTGTCGAGGTCCCACAGTTCATCCACCCACAGGTAATAGCCACACACACACACACACACACACACATCGTCACACACACTAACGGACGCGCGGACGGACGTCGGATAGAGGCATGGAGGGAGAGATTCAGGGACAGACGAGGGTCAAAGAAAGAAAGAAAGAAAGAAAGAAAGAAAGGCAGGAGGGAGGGAGGGAGGAAGGGAGAAGCTTGCATTCACGCCCCTCCCCGCCCCCGCCTGCTGTCAGGCAGCACAGGCAGTTGCACTCGCGTGTCTCTCCTCATCCCTCGCCTGCATGGTTTGTGGCTGTCTGTGTGTGTGTGTGTGTGTGTGCGTGTGTGTGTGCAGTTGGAGAAGGTGGAGCCGGTGCCGCAGCCCGAGGTGCAGTATGTGTACAAGGACATTCCCGTCCCACAGATCGTCCCACGACACGTGCCCGTCGAAAAGATCGTCGAGGTCCCACAAATACAGGTGGGGCACCTACACACCTACACAGATGTACATATATAAATACATGGCCAAGCAACGCATGTGTATGTATGTGTACGCAAGACAGACAGACAGACAGATCCACGAATGCAATGCACACAAAGAGACAGCCAGCCAACGGATGCCATCCATGTTGGTTTGCTTGCTGTATTGGTATGGGTGTGGTGTGGCGTACGTACGTGTGCATTTGCTTCCTCTCCTTTCTCCATCCATCAGTACGTTGAGAAGATCGTTGAGATTCCGGTGCCTCAGTACAAGGAGATCCCCAAGCCCGTCCCCCAGCCCGTCCCGCAGTACCGACACGTACCCACTGAAGGAGCCGCTGAGTGAGGAATCAAACACTCACTCATTCAGCCAGGCAATCCATCAATCACACATTTACACACACACCCGAGCTGCCACTGTGTTGGGTCCTGTTGTGTGTCATGCATGATGTATGTATGCTATGCAGGCGGGGGCTGCCGGAGCCTGAGGTGGTTCAGGGCGGCGAGCCGGGGCCGGGCGATATCATCCAGCACGTCAAGATCCCCAAGATCGTCCCAAAGTAAGGAAATCCATGATTGGTTAAATGCCCACGATGATCAATTACGGCCACAGCACAGCACAGCACAGCACGGCACCCCGCTTGTGTCGTGGGTTGGTTGTGTGGCCACAAATGTGTGGTGCGCTTCTGTGGGTAAATAAATATTTGTCAAGGTATAAGGAGGTGCCCGTGTTTGTGCCCATGACTGGCGCTCCCGTCGCTCAGAAGACTATCGAAGTCCCGGTCAGTCAGTCAGTCAGTCAGTGAGCAAACTAGTCAGGCGGGCCGTGTGGTAGCTAGTGGTGTGGTGTGATGTTGGTGTGCATTGCCTCCCTCCCTTGGTTGTCTGTTTGTATCTTTGTTGAGTGAAGGTTCCTGTGTTCAAGGACGTGCACGTGCCTGTGAAGGTGCCGCGTAAGATCCCCCGTCCTGTCCCCACCGGCCCCGCCCCCGACCTCATGATCCAAACCAGACTCGGACTCATGCCTTTCTCACACGTAGGCCTGACTCATGCATGCATTGCATTGCATTCATTCATGTATCTATCTATCCGTCGATGGATGTATCTATCTATCTATGTGTCGTGTTTTGGCTGTCTCTGTTGTCTGTTTGTCTGTTTGTCTGTCTGTCTGTGTGTCTGTCTGTGTTTGTGTGTCAGTTTGTGGATCTGAACGCGAGGAATGAGGCTCCAGCGCTCGTCTAGCCTGCCTGCTGCCTGCCTGCACATGGATGAATCAATCAATAAGGTGGGGCGCCTTCATCTACACACACACACTTGTACACACATACATATCCACTCCAGTGGATGGACCATGTGTACCGTCTGTCTGTCTCTTGCCTTGCAGAGGGCACGCCGACCTCTTTGCTCGTGGATTGATGGACGTGTGTATGGATGAGTCGATTGGTTGATGCCTGGATCCGCCAAGCCTTGCATGTGTGCGTGGTTGCGTGGTTGATGGAGGGAGGTGCATTCCATTCCTACCATGGATGCAGTCAGTGAGTGCCGCAGAGAGAGGACAGAGCCGGACCCCCGGCCGCATGCAGCGACGTACGTACGTACATGCAGCAGACACACAGAATCAATGCAGTGAATTACATACACTACACTACCGAGCATTCGAATGAATTCAGTTCCGGGCCAGCGGCCAGGAGAACTGTCAAGCTCGCAAATCATTCTGTGAAGTTGGTATGGCAGGCGGAGCGGCCGATCTGTTGCGTATTCTGGTAGCAACTGACACGCACGTGGGGTACAAGGAGCGTGACAAGATCCGGGGCGACGACTCGTTCGTGACGCTCGAGGAGATCCTCCAGATAGGCAAAAATGAGGACGTGGACTTCGTCCTACACGGCGGAGACCTCTACGACGAAAACAAACCCTCACGACCATGCATGTAATCACTCACTTGGAAGAAGACGAAACACAGACACAGACAGGCAGACAGACAGAGTGATGATGGATGGATGCACTCTGTTTGATTGCGGTGTGCGTGTGTGCGTGTGTGTGTGTGTGACTGCTACTCCCACCTACCCACCCACCTGTAGGAATCGCGTGTCGTCGTTGCTGCGGAAGTACACTGTGGGTGAGGGCGGTGTGTATTTCGAGGTGCTCAACTCGGACGACCGCCGGGTCTTCCCCACCGGCCAAGTCACACACGAGGACCCCAACCTCAACATCGAAACACCCGTATTCATCGTACATGGAAACCACGGTATGGATGTATGGATGTATGAATTTGTGTGTGTGTGGGTGTGTGTGCGTCTGGATGCACGGAGTGCAGACAGACAGACAGACAGACGCTACCGCTCAGTCACTCACTCGCGCATACATATACACATACATACGGGACGTAGCCAGGCACCCAGGCAGGCAGGTGGCAGCCCCCCCCCCCCCCCCCCCCCCCCCCCCCCCCCCCC